GGGGTAGGTGCGCTAATATCACTAGGTACAGCTGCCGATTAGCCTCGCCAACGTCCGCACATAAAAATTGTCTAATTTGAGAAAAATGCGAAAGCCTATTTCTAAATGTTTAATTATTCATAGTATATACCTACGAGAAACCGCTGAAGAAAGCGGGAATCTACGCGCCTGGGAGAGACCCGCGAACCCACACACGTTTTAAGTGTCGTTGGCAGCAGTTCGGATTTTAGTTCCTGCAAGCAGGAGCTGGAGGAAAGCGCGACACTGTAATAGTCTCCACACCGTCGTCTGGGATTTGAAAGATCCTCGTGGGGTCCCCCAGGGCCCTGAACTCCCCACTGAAATTGTGGGTCAACCTCGATGGTGCATGGATAGCGGTTCTTTGCGTGACACCCGTTAAAAGGGCACGACACAAATTTGACACTTTTATTGGAAATACGCACGAATACACAGTATTTACAATGAAAAATCTTTCCTGGTTAAAATGCGTGGCTGTATGCACCGCGGTCTTTTAAACAAGGCAGCCTTCTTGTGTCTCGCCAGTGTTGAAAGTAATTGAGTAGAAGTAATTCAATTACTTTTACTTTTAGCAGAATGTACTTTTCACTCGAAATTTACTCCTTGATATAAAATTGTAACTGTTACATCGCATGTAATCATAAATATTTTTATAAAATATGCCTATTTAGTACTTTCCGCTCGCCAACTACCTCGCTCGTCGCGAACTAAATGAGCGGATCAGATCATTTAGTTCACAAACAAGGTTGAACGACAGGTCCCCATCCACAGTAAAGAAAAATATTCGTGACAGCATCTACACCGTTGCTCCAGCCTAGATTTGTTTGTATGAACTAGTTCGTTAATGAACGACGTACCTCTATTTGGACTTGTAATTGTAATTATAATTTAACCAATTACAGGCTGAAAATGTAATTTTAAAATTTAACTGAGTATAATATTTCACAGATATCTATATGATAAACTATAATAGAGCTCAATTCATTTTTTAAGCACCCATGACTGCTCCTGACGAAGAAGGAGCCAGGATAGAGCGCGCCACTAGTTCAAAAGGAGCTGAAATGCCCTGAGGCCCACCACAGCAAGAATCGAGCTCTATAGCGGGGCTGCTCACTGGGCGAGCCCCAAGCCAGCGCTTGGGGACAGCCGCTGTCGCAGCTCGTCGTGTCAGCCCTGGGAGGCGCTGATGGAGGAGCACGGAGTCGAGTCTAGCACAGGGGTATACTTCTATTTTTCTATATTGGCCGATGACATTAGGGTCATTGTTGCAACTCTTGCCTTATGAATCTTTTCAAAAGCGCTTTTCTGAGTCCACGAGTCCCGTTGAGAAGGACGTTCGCGATTTAATTAAAACTATTCATTTCATAAAGCAGGAGGTGTAACAATGGCTAAATGTCATTAGCCAATATTGAAAAATTCCTTGCAGTGCACCCTTGCACACACCTTGCTCTGTCAGTTTCTTCATCGCGTCGCGGTCTTCTATTCTGGTTTTTTGGCATTCACGATGTCTTAGCAAGATCGGAGTCCAATATTTTTAAACTTGCGATCCGGACTGATGAAGTCTCCATGTGGGACAGAAGGGCCTTGGACACGTTGAAGCAATTCCCTCATTGCCATCACCCCTCAGCCCCTTTTAATCACCGCAAACACAACTCACTAGACCCTCTTCATGCAACCACTTAGGATTTCTGGAATTTTCTCTATTGCTTTGCTGCTTATTTACGAGTATCATGTACGGAGATCGGGATTTCAGCTCATTATAAGATTCTACTGAAATATGCCTATTTTTTGTTGAAATGTCAACCCGCAAACAAAGACTGACCGGGATAGCAGAGATCATAAAGGAGGGAGGCGCCGAAATCATCTGGCTTCACGATCGTGCGTTCGAAACCTGCGATGTACTACAAGTTGCCACTAGGCTAGCAATCTCATGTGCATAAAGGGCGACGCCAGAAAAGCCTTCCCTCCCCATAAGTAAATGCAGCTGACTCCAGTTATCGTGAGCTTGTCATGGGTCCCGTTTCACTGACACAAATAAACATAAGAATATATGGTAACAGAGAACCTGAACCTCAGCTATAGTGGACGTAGGAAATACATCTTCGAAATCATGGGCGAGTAAAAGGGCCTTCGAAGAGTAGGATGGTGTTCCAACACTTCAAGCGGCACTAAAGGGTGTCAAAACTGCATTACGATACACTGAAGAAAAAGAATGATCAAGTATTGAGAGAGCACGAACTCTGGAGAATTATCGAGAGAAATAAGTGATGAAAAATGAACGAAGTAAACAATTGAAAAATCACCGATATTTTTAACGACAAAGATAATTAAATTTCCAGTTTGTTCAGTTAACATACAGGTAGAGGGAAATAAAATCAACCTTTACGGAAAAATTCTATTTAATTTCGACCTCACCGGATAGAGTGAACGTCTGATATAGTGAACCAAAAATCTTAGTTCCCAGAAATTCACTATAACCGGACTCGAATGTAGTTGAAAGCCTCCTCCTGAATGATGGGACAGGCATCACCATCCGAAAGCAGTTCTCATAATGCCTAAATGCGAAAATAAATATTACGTAACGAACGTATTTCTAATATAAAATACATCTTTTGAACACAATATTTGCCATGATCATACTACTTGAAATGCAGATTCATCAATAACTAATTTTCCCCCTACTGAATTTAAATGGGTGATGTAGTAATAGACAATTTATGAACGATGGTGTTCTCTTCTGTTTAGTCTCATTGTCCAGAAGTGTTCATTTTCGACCCCTCTACAATTTGTCACATTTATTCTGGGACAGGCTGTATAGCGTGTTCAGACGTAAATAATATTATCTGACATTTTCATCCAAATCGAGATTAATGGCTTTTATGAAGGAGAGGGAGTAGATATCTCTAGATTCCAAGTGGATTCAGGAAGAGACAACAACTGGCAATGATAATTTGTTTGTATGACATGCGTTGCTCGCGGATGAAGATAGCGTTCAGCCCATGGCCCGGTTGTTAGGGTACTGATCCGATATACGCCTGCTATTGGTCGGTGAAATCACGGAAAATAACCGCCCAGAACAGCGGTCCGCTAGAATTCTCTAGGCAGAGGCTGAATTCGACCTAACTCTACAGCTAGTCTCGAAAATGCATCACCGTCGGGGCTTGAACCTAGGACGTCCTGGTCAGAGGCCACGGTATTGTTACTGAGCTATCTCAAAAAGTCTCATTTTTCGGAGCAAGTTCTCATCTCGAGAAATATCGAAGTTCCAAAGATTCCAACCTCCGCGTTGTTTTGCAATTCGAATTTTAAACGAAACATTGTAATCCTTTTTTTCCCCTTCCTTCCTGGGTCTTTTTCCTGCTACAGGGCATGTTGATTTAGACATCTCGCGCTGGGTACCCACGATGTCCCTCATAGGGACCTTTACACTAGACACACTTACGGGCTCTTCGCTCTCAGGTCAGCAGACTCACACGGCCTTCAGCTACCACACAGACATGAAAGACTAGGGACAAACAACCCTGCCCACGGCGGGATTGGCCTCCTCGGTCACCCAGGTGGACAAACACTGCAATCTTTTGAATCCTATTATTGTCAGCTGGCTTTGCTCTGTGCTCTCTTTACTAAGCTATCACACTCAAGACGTTTCCAATTACTTCAAAGGGCGTGCAATCAAATATATCTTTTCTGAAATTACAATGAAATGAGAATTCAGAGTAGTGAAACCTCACTTTTAACCGTAATGTTTAAATGAAGTGAAATCCGTCCTTTCCGTTTGGACAAGTGGCGATGTTCGGGCGAGATTTGTCGAGGAGAATAAGCTTTGAGAAACTGTGGCTGGTGTTAGTACTTTTTTTTCTGCCGGGGTACTGAATGAATTTACGAAATTTTACATTTTGTCCACATGGGACTGTGACATGGTGATCGTAAGTCAAGATCATCGATAGAGCGGTACTAAATTGTTTTGGACTCGGGAGCGATTGACCACGCTACTCGTTCGGATAAAACTTAAAATTCCTGTTCAGAGCCCAGCGATTGTGGATTTCGGTCATGTTTTGGCCAGTTACGTTTCGATCTTTATGTACTAATATTTACGTCGCTTCATAGTACCAAAACCCAGTGACCCCTCGATTTATAAACCTGTTGAACAAACAACAAAACATGCTATCGATGAATGAAAACAACGCGTTCTTCCTCAACTGACGCAATGTAACTTGCAATACAACCAAAGCAACAATGACAATCAATGCGATCCTTATTCCGCTCAGTTATCAACCTGTGTAATATTTATGAAATCACTTTCGTATTATTTAATTGTCAAGGGACCACATGCGATTGACAACATTTAATTCTTTACTGTACGGCCAAAATTTATTGACACCTTAGATATAATTCTATAATTAATAATAATTATATGAGGATGAAATTAGACCATATATCTGGTTGGAATTATTCACATAGCCTTTTAACAGTTTCGTACGGCATAGATGCTCATGACAATAGGCCCCATTTTATTACGTTTTATTTACACTATTACTTTATAATTTTTCTTCATTATTATTATTATTATTATATAGTTCCAAATACATTTTTATAATTATATTTAGACGGCCTAACACTAAATTTATAACCAGATTGTGAAGTTAAAATTTTTGATAACTATTAGTTTAAGATCAAAAGTTTGTATTGGACCTTGGTGAGAAAATAAACACTGTCTATCCCAAAATTGTACAGAATCAGACCAAGAGCTCAAGATTCTAATAGGGCACAGTGGGGAAATATCCACGGGCGAAGCGAGTCTACTGACGAGGAGGGGCCCTTGTGATTCGCATTGGCAGCCACGTGTACTTCAAGTTTTTAAAGTGGCAGATACAATGAATCTTTTTAATTAACTTGCGAACGTCCTTCTCAAGTGGGCTCGTGGCCTCAGAAATGCGCTTTTGAAAAGATTCATTTCATAAGGCAGGGGGCATAAAAATGACCTAATGTCTTCGGCCTCTGAACAATAATCGAAGTATAGTGTGCTTGGGGCGCACTGTGCGGCACAGCGCGGGGCAGGGAGGGGCAGGAGGGGCAGGAGCGGGCGCCTTGGGCGGCCCGGGCTAAAAACTAAAAAAGAAAACAAAAACAAAAAAATTTATCTGCGCCGCATTCCTGCCTGCGCCGCACCATGCCCGCCGCGCGCCTGGCGGGGCACTGCGACAGTCGCGGCGCGGCCAGGCCCCCGCGCGCTGCACCGCCCCGGCCCCACGCGCCTGCTCGCCGCCGCAGGCTCAAGACGCTCCGCACAGTCGGATTTTGCCCCAATCCGCGAACAGCTCATGTGTTTGGCGAATGGGTTCCTCCCTTTCTTGTGCCTTCTAAAGACCAATACGCGGTGGGTAGGGAGAGCACCGTACGTCCCCGCTCGACAAATATACTAGGATTTATTTAACCGTGCGGCTTGACATAATCAGCTCTTGACGTTTCACAAATCGGGAGCTTGAACGTCCCCATATGACTCAGAGTTGGCGAGTATAAGCGGCCCCGATTGGATAAACCGTACTGCAGCAAGCAACTCATCCACACAACTCGGGATTCGGGGAGCGATCGCTCGCTACTCGTCGAATACCGAATGTGTGGAGCCGCCTTCACTCACTTGAGCCCGTCCTGGGCTGCAGTGCAGGGTGGCACGATTTTCGTCACTAGCTTGTCAGCTAGATCGAAGTCAGCTGCTGTCTAGAGACGAGTTCTACCGGCCGGCTGCTCTGGTCGGTAGTATTCCGCGGTTTCTGCGATCAACAGTAGGCGGATGCCGGAGCAGTGCTCTGCCAAACTGACCACGGGCCACGAACCACGTGCGATCTTCCCTTCCTCTTCCTTCACATACATGTACTTTCACTTTGCCGTCACGTATGTGGCGAGCTTATACTTTGTCTCGACTGGACTAGTCTCCCGCTAGTGAGGATACCTCGAGGTGGGAAACCATTGAGAGTCAACGCTTGATGATAGCTAGGGAGAAACACTGACACCTCCCGAAATACAACACGCACTACACTGAGGGGACTAATGACCGTAGCGGTTAATATGCATGTTGATGATAAAGCATTATAAAACCAGCGAAGGAGAAAGTAGTTGAAAGTTAAACGAGGCGCTATAATCGCGGACAGGAAGGAACGGGCATGCATAGCGGCCTCGCGGAGGACGGCTAACCGCAACGCGCACAATTCCGGTGAAATGTAACGTTTTCCGATCTCTCTGGCGAGACTCTTTTTGAAACACGCCGCGGCGCCACCGTGACACGTTCAGCCAATCAATAGACGCGACACGTGTCCACTGACCTTGCGCCTGCGTCCACGTTTAATCTAAAGCTCCCGCCCGCGCCAGGCGGACGCTCCTGCTCCTTCCCGGGCACGGCATTAGCTCGATGTTCCACCTCCCGCGTCTCGAAACGAATCTCTTTAATTCATTCGCGAACGCACTCCTCAACGGGGCTCGTGGCCTCGAAATGCGCTTCCCATAGGCAAAAAGAAATGCATTTTATACGGCAGGAGGTGTAACAATGACCTAACGTCGTCGGCCACTTTAAAAAAATCTTAGTGTAGTAATGCTTATTACTATTTTCCAATTAAAACAGTGTCCAATCAAAGTCACGAGCCGGCAGGAGAGGGGGACCCTTCACACAAATCATAACTTTCTTTATGACTTAAATGTTTGGTACTGAAGGTCCCGATTTTGTGTCTCCCTCTTTGCAACTCGTGTCTTTGATAGGACATCGACGTATTTTAATCGAAGTATAGCATCTCCGTTTATTTATTTTGGTTTTGTTTCTCCTTTCTCCCATGGAGCTAGGCGAGAAATAACACTAATGTATTAAGAATAAATGAACTACTAGAGCACGCCAGTTGTTACAATTTCCATACTAATGTAAATAATGGGATGAAAAGTTCTGATAATTTGAACATTGTTAGACCAAGACTACAAACAATAGCTTGTCACTAACAGTGCGCCGAGATCAATTAATAGTTTCAATTACGTCAAAACCATCATCCATTATTAGGCTTAAGAGAGAACTAGAATTGTAGGCCTATGCAATCAAATTGAATTAGAATAATCTAAAGCATCTCTTAATTTATTATGTCCGTAAAACGCAGTTTGCCAGATCGTAGTTCCCTAAGGACATACACATAACAAGTCTCCAGTCCCCTGAGTCAGCGATTAAATTGCAAACGGACATTAAGCTGCGTGGATGCTCATTTCCTGTTATTATCATCATTATGCCGTTACGGAGTAAATAAGCAAGTCTATTAATTGCGATATCGGTCGTGTGTCCTTCAATACGTTTTGTATTACTACCCACCTTATACAAAAAATTAAAATAAAAAAAATTCATTTCCGAGGAGTATGCACACTCACCCGCCATCTTCAGCTACAAGTTGTCTGTTTCGATTGTCCTCTGCTGCTTGCAGACTGAAATATCCTTAACGGACACAGATCGTTAAGAGCTTTTCGTTCCTGTTTGGTTGCGTTATAGTTACTAACGTCCCTAGGCGGATTCACAGCGACTATCGGATGCAGTTTGTAAGCGGAGGGAAGCCAAAACTACCAAGAAATGCCATTTCTTGGAATAAGTATGCTCGTGCTCCATCATAGCTACAAATAATTTGTTTCGATTTTTCCAAACGGACGGCTCACTTAAATCCTTTAAGGATTACAGTATTACGAAAACATATAAACTTTCTTTGCAGTTTTGTTTCAAATTCTGAAGTTGGAGACTTTTCGAAGAACCTTGGTGGTTTTGCGCATCTCTTGCGATTCCGCGGACACACTCACTCACACGCACGCGCGTACACACTCTTGAAAAGTTCGCAGTGTTGTTATGACGCTTGTTCAAACTGATTTGCATACCTTCTTTTATGTGATGGAATTTACCCTACCGACCGAATCGGCCCCATGGCCGAAACGTTAGCCATGTCAGTGACGCGGCTCGTCCCAGATAGCCTAGATAACAAAAACTCCGGCCGCGGAAGCCTACGCAACCAAGGAAGAGGAAGGAAAGATCGCGCGCGGTCCGTGGCCCGTTTGATAGGGTATATCTCCGGCATTCGCCTAGTATAGATAGGAGAAACCATGGAAAACTACCGATCAGAGCAGCCGGCCGCTAGAATTCTAGCACAGACAGCGACTGATTGCGACTTAGCTGGAGTCTAAAATCCTGCCACCGTCGGGAGTCAAACGCTAGAAGCTCGCGATCAGAGGCTCCGCAGTGACAAGTGTTGAGGCAGCTAAGCCGGTCTAGTGCCGGCGCGAGGGGAAGTGGGCGGAGGAAGGAGGCGGGGTGGAGTGGGGTGGGGAGGCTTCTGCCGAGTGCGAACGTCCGGCGCATTCACCCGACCCCCCACCCCACCTCACCCACACACACACACCTCGAAGGCGGCGGAGCTCGCGCGCCGGGCACCCGCCGCTGCATCAGCGTAAAAGTTCCCGCTTGCGGAGGCCACTAGTAGAGATAATAGATTTCAGCAATTGCCAACTAGTGGTGCTAAGACATCACGTACTTTCTAGCCCGTACCTTCAAGGGCGCTTTAATAGCTAAGGTCATTGGCGCCAGTGTCAACGTATTTTCAGACCAGTAAGTATTGTGAGTGTGCCAAGATAAAACATTTTTGTTTTAAATGCGAAGTAAAATGTGGGTAAGAACAGAATACAACGTGTCCAATTATAAAAAGGATTTGGCAGAAAAGAGTCAGATAAATACTTTAAATGCCGGTCCGGATTGCCGAGATCGCTAAGACAGTAGTGTCGTGGCGATCTCGGGCGGAAGAATCGCGGGTTCGAGTCCCGCCTCGGGCATAGGTGTTTCTGCTCGTATTGTCCTTACGTGTTGTGTTCCCCTATGGTTACCGCGAAGTAAAACTATCGCAGTGGTCGCTACATGACCTTAGTAGTTAAAAAGCGACCTTAAATACTTTAAAATCTCCAAACAAAACGCAAATAATTGGCGTTGTTCTCTTCTCTCAGATAAAGCTGTAGAGTCTTTCGTAAAAAGCGTAAAAAGAGTTAGTCTTTCGTAAAAAGCTCAGAAGCTTGCAGAGAGAAGATTCGTCATTTCCAAGCATCCCTGCTAGAAAGCTAGCAACGTAATGCCACGGCGGCTCTCTATTATCTTGCCACAGTGCAAGAGAACATGCTGCACGGTAAGATCCGTTTCGCAGTAGGGGTGGGTCACCGCGGAGAAAGTGTCCGTGGCAGTGAACGAATGGCTGACAGACTAATCTCCTCGCGCGTAGCAACACGAGAAGAGGAAGACAAATGATTTACGGAATCCTTGATTCTCGTGAGTTTAGAATCAGAGTTCTGCCACTCTGTTTGCCATGCACTGAGAATAGAGCGTTTGACAAAGAGCGTAGTGTCTTCCGTTGGGACTGTAAGGATGTCGAACTCTTTTCATCGTTGCCGAGCTTTGCTGTCTAGTCAGTTATCTCGTTTCCTACTACTCCCACGTGGCCAGTGACCCCCCCCCCTCGAAAAAAGTTAGAACGTCGTTCGTTACGAGTGATTTGGAAGTTTGGCCTCGGAGGTGAATGTTAGTGAAGGCAAACGACCTCGATCGAAGGCACTCGCTATTCATCGATTTTTTTTAAATCGATCGACCTCCTGCCTTATAAGACGAATATTTTTAATTAATTCGTGAACGTCAGAAATGTGCTTACCACTATTAAAATGTTTAATTTTGTATGGCAGGAGGTGTAGCAATGGCTTAATGTCATAGACCACAACAGAAAAATCGAAGTATATAGTTCGATTTATTTAAGCTTCTTTTGACAGATCATCAGCAGTTACGGTGTCGTCCAATCGGAAGCTCAAACGTCACTAGTTACGTCACTACGGTAGCGTTCAACCTCCCGATTGGATAACACCGAAACAGCTGATTTACGTCAACTGACGTTCCGTTTAAAACCACGTACACTTGGTACACAGTAAGTGGGTACACTAATATGGAGCAGTTCGTCCCCTTCGCTTTTTGCGAAAGTAGCTTCCTCTTAATTCCTTTCAATAATACGCCACCCACTTCAGCACCGGCGCAAAATGGTAAAACTTCCTCGTTCCGCTCTCTTGGCGAAATCGCAGGACGCGGCGTGGCGCGGGGCGACGGCCCAAACGTCTTAAGCCAACGAACGGTACATCGGGAGGCCCACCGCAGGCGCAGCGCAGCACGGAGCGATCCTGCGCGGAGCGCGCATCGCCCCGGGCAGCCGGGCGCGTCCTGGCGCGAGGCGCCCCGTCGCGTCGCGTCGCGTCACGTCTCCCTCTCCACCTGCGGCCGAGCAACGGCCTTGAACTTGCCAAGGCCGTGCGCTGAGGGCGCGATGCCCTGAGCGCGGCGCTCCGGAGCGCGACCACGTTGCCGCCGCCGCCGCCGCCGCCTCGCAAAGGCCGCAGACGAAGAAAGCACACGCGCAGAAGGGCTCGCGCAAAATCCATGCGATCGGGTTTTCACTATTAGAGAAAAGGGTCTGGTCAGGTATCTATAATTTTATTACACTGAAGATATTTTCGAAGTCTACGGGACCACCAGAGCAAATCTTGCTGCGTCTGGGCGGAAAACAGTTGTGCAGAACGTGCCCACGTTCGAGGGCAGCGCGAGAGAACCGGTGCGAACCACGTGGCGTAAGAAGCAAGGGGAGCGGGACACTTGTGGCCAAATGGGGGTTGCTCTAAAATTGCGTTTACTCGAAAGCGGGTTACGACTGGAAAGTCTTCTTATCGGATTTGTATTATTCAGGTCAAAATACACCAAATTACCGTTTCAATTCCCTATTCCAACGTAATAGAACTTAACTATGGAAACTGATAAACATACTGTTTATTACGAGTATTATTTTTAACAAGTTTTCCTAGTTAATATCAATCTCTGTACTGAGATACCTCACCAGAGATATTTACATCTATAAGGGGTTTTGGAGAGGGGGGCAGCTATTTTACTAATTTACTGATCTTGGTAAATACAGAAGATTCACTTTCTTTGCAGAAACTAGTTTTAAACTATCTTATAAGAAAATGGGGATTTATATTTTTCGATAATATAAATCCATATCGTTTCATTTATCTTGAAGAATACCAATATGAAAACATTAAAAAAATACGTTTTTAGTTTTCCATTTAGCGCCTACTTTTCTGCAGCTCTTTCTTATGTGTGATGTAATCGTTCGGATACAGCTAATATTTCCTTAAAATTACTATTACATTCCTGAAATTAAAACCAACAGTGTTTATACATACAAATCAGGGCGGTATACCTCAAAAAGTTTATAGCTTTTTCTATCCGACTTTTCTTACCGCTTCTCCTTCCTGGCCAATAAAAATCTGCGACTCGTCAATCTTTGGAGGCGTTATACATTAATCGCTGTGGATTAATATTTTCCATTTTTAACATATTTTCAACATTTGGCGCATTTTGGAACTCTACTGGAAATAATGTCACTCTCGGAATAGTCGTATTGGGTCGGATAAATCCTCTCCTCGCTTCGCAAGTCGGGGATTTATCGATGATTTCCAAAGCACAAGTGGTATTACTTATGATAAAAGCGTTTGCGCGTGAGCACGTTAAACTCAACGTCCTTATTTTAGTTGTGTTTTGAACGAAAACTACCTACTAAGTTAAATTATTGACACAATATCAATTGGGCGCGCCTTATGATTTACAATCGTAAAAATGATAAAGAATGTCCAAAGACATGCATAATTACTAAAGTAAATTCGAAGTGATAGTACATGAGAAAATGTTATTAAACTGCCTAACAATGAAAAACGCGGTTGGTCTTTATATTACCCATTTACTAGTAAATCGCCTATTCTTGTGCGTATCATAGACATATCAACAAGATATTTTGATTTTTTCTACACTGATAGTGCAGTTCAGATGTAAGTTCACGACTTTTCTACGTGAGATGGTAAATATATATTACTGTAATTTAGCAAAAGTAGAATTGGTCTTAAATCGTACCTACTTGGTAAATCAAATGTATTTTACAACCGCAATTTCTCACTCCTGAGAAACTGATTTTCTTATGGTTTTACACAACCGATGAAATGAGTTGCTCTCGGCTACGCATCGAACAGGCAAAATGTTTCCTTTGCATTTTCTCATTCTCATCGAGCACTCACTCTGCATGTGGATTGTATGAAGAAGCTTTCGATGATCTTATCGACTGAACAAGTTTAGAGAGTAAACTTTACGCCTTGAATTTGTTTCAGTTTTTCCAGCGATTAGCTATTACTCAAGTCAACATGGCACGCTTTTATCTGTACCTTCCCACTAAACACCGCGCAGTCAATCGAGTTACGAAGTTCTTATTCGGAATACGTTATGTAAAGGGCAGAGGACAACTTCCAAAATTAAGAACTCGCGGTTGCCAAATCAACAGACTTATCATTCGTTAATTCTTAATTGCTAATATTATTCAAAATGAAGTGTAATCTACCCAACCCTACTACTACACTTCGATTAAAACATTGTGTCCTTTCAAGGGCCCGAGCTGCCAAGAGAGAGGCAGTCTTATCCAATCTGCTTATCCAATAGGCAGATTCAATGTCAAATTTTAAGTCGCAACGGACCTCACGATCCGGTGACACCCCTTTTGCCAGCTCGCTTGGAAGTACTTCATGTTTTAATCGGAATATACCAGTGGTTTCACAAATTGAAATGAACTTGTAGGGAAAGCTGGAGACATTTTAGCTCGAAATGCAGTGTTCGTTGAGTGAAATTTGAAGCTGAAGTTCGCTCGAGCGATTTCATTTTCGAGTGAGCAAACGCGATGTATATAGAAATTATTCCAAGAAAGGTTCAATTTGACAACTCGGAAAAAGAATCCAACTGATGTTGGTTGACGGCTTTGCAGGAAGGTGTGTCGAATCCTTCTGCAAGGGAGTCATCTGCATGCGAACGCATTGGCAAGTTGAGCACATGGACATAACCAACTCTCACAACGTATCCTAACTTTAATTTATAGAACTGAAAGTCGCTGTAGAACAAGAGGCTATCCCACATTTTTTGTGAATTTGTAGATTTTAGCGTTATACAAAACTTAAAATAGTATTCTTTTAGTGTAATATGATTGTTTTTAAATGTAGTATGGACTTATATGCATGCGTACTGTGTTTAAATTTTAAAAATGTATTGAATTATACGAGAGAAGATCAGGTAAATCTCTCATTATATCCGAACTATGCCTACTAGCCGAACTATAGCCCCTTGTTCTGCTGAGTCCTTCAATTGATAACTCTCCTGATGACCGTTACCCACAATAGTAGTGTTAAGGTGGAGGATGGAGAAAAGGGGCAAAGCCCATGTGCCTTTAACCTTCACTCTGTCCGGTTGGCGCTTGGAAGCCACAATGAATAGAGTTTTTCCGTAGGTAAGACCACGAGTGCTTCGGAAATTGTCGACGAATCTCCGACTCAGGAGTTTTTTCAAAGCGAGAGTGGTATTTAATAGGACTATTCCATGAATGAAATTCTGTTCAACAGAGTAAATGCGCCAAATAAAGAATAGTTTGAAATCAAATAGGTTATGTTCAGGCGGTTTATTGGACATCGACACAGCGATCGACGTATACAGCCTCCTACTATAGTTGAGCCACACTTTATGATTGGCCAGAAGGGTGAAGCGATAAGTAAAATGGGATAGAAAACCGTGATAAACTTTGAGATACACCGCCCTGATTGAAGCGTTTTGCATGGATAGCGAGAAAGAAGAGAGAATGTGAAGCGGTAAGTAAAATGAGATAAAGGGGAAAACGTTGCGAGATACACCGCCCTGATTTGGGCGTTTTGTATGGATAGCGAGAAAGAAGAGAGAATGTGAAGCGGTAAGTAAAATGGGATAGAAAACGTGATAAATTTTGAGATATACCACCCTGATTGTGGCGTTTTGTATGGATAGCGAAAAAGAAGAGAGAATGTGAAGCGGTAAGTAAAATGAGATAAAGGGGAAAACGTTGCGAGATACACCGTACGAGGGAGGAGGAAGAGACGCACCTCACCGTTGGAGGACTTGAGGTCGCGGTGGATGAGCGAGATGGGCGCCCCGTTGTGCAGGTAGTTCATGCCGCGCGCGATCTGCACGGCCCAGTCGACGAGCACGTCGGGCCGGATCTTGCGGCCGGCCAGCACGCGGTTGAGCGAGCCGCCGCGCGCGTACTCCATGACGAGGCACAGGTTGGGCATCTGCAGGCACACGCCCTCCAGCGACACGATGTTCTCGTGCTTCAGCAGCCAGAACAGCTTCGCCTCCTGGCGCACGTTGTCCATCGTCACGTTGATGTCCTCGTCGGGGTCCTGGCGCGCCGCCTTCACCGCCACCTGCACACGCACACACCAGCTTTTAGATACATCTCCCTTACACAATCCTTTTTTAGTTAGTTAATGTCTTATTTTACGTGGCGAGACTCGAGCCATCCTCTTCCGTCTGATCACACAAATTTCGCTACGGTCATTTCAATTTAGCCCAAAGGGTTACTTCAGGCTAGAGATTCTTTTAGAATCAGTAAATCTACTACATGGGTCTGTCGGCTTTACTTCCTCTCCGAAGGAGTGCATACAAAGGAATTTTTCGCTCTTAAAAATCCACGGCTTCGATCGGGTTTGACACCCGCAAACTGGGGTACAACAGCCCGATACGTCTCCGTTATAACCCACATTCATTTTTTATCATTTTTCGCCGGTACAAAAGAGACAGATCAGACTGGATGTAATTTGTACAAAAAAATGACGTGTGTTTCATTTTGCGATTCAGATTTCATCTAGTTCGACTACCGCACTCCTGGTGTCACTTATCGGAAATTTCTTAGGTTTGCTACCAGGTGCGATTTCTTCCTTTCGTACAGTTTCGAGAGCGATCAGATGTGTTGAATTGTAATGTGACGTGATTATATTGTGAGAAATAAATTGTGTATTGTGTTCTAATATCGCATTCCATGCTCAGTCCTAAAATAACCAAACTCCATTTGTTACCATAAATACGATGTTCAAATTTTGATCTTTAGCGATTTTAGAGGAGTTCGGGGGGAAATATTTTCATTACGAATACGTACGGACCAGAAATTACCGTGAAGAAACGCTGGAATCACATTCATCCAGTTTCGGCACCGAAACATAACGCGAAGAAATGAACATCCTTTTTCCACTCACTTTCTGTACACAAAAATTATGAAAAATAATGAAAAATGACCGTGTAAAACACGCTTTAGTACAGTAATCCCGCTGATCGCAACCCGCTAATCCGAAATTTCGGATAATTCGAACAATATTCGGCATGGAAGAAATATAAACAAAGTAAAGAGAATACTCATTTCTAGTGTAAAGAAAGGTTTAATATATACTGTAGAATTGAACAAGTAACGATTGAAACAAACTGTCGAAATGAAACGCATATTGCACTGATAACTACTGTGTATATTAAATGTTTATGTAGCAGTAATTTTAGAGAAACTTGCAAAATCGATAATCTTCTTTTGCCGTAAGGAATTGAATCTCCTTGATGACGCGACGTTGCGATTTTCTCACGTCGCATGCTACGACTTGTGTGAGGTAATCCTATAGATGTATTTGTATAATGAACGGCACATTGTTTCAGATAACCGAACACGCCAAACCCACAATTATTTCGGAAAAGCGGGCAACTACTGTAATTAGTTAGTGTCTTATTTTACGCGGCGAATCTCTGAGCATGAGACCCGCTCTTCCGTCCGACCACGCAAATTTCGCTACGCTGCTTTGATCATCTAGCGGATATATTACTCGGGCGACCAAATAGGCGATTTTGAGTTTTGCTCAGTGATTTCTTTTGGGCTCGAGGATCTTTTACAGGCAGAAAATCTGCAACATGGGACAGCCGGCTTTACTTCCCCCCATACGAAGCGGGGCGATTTTTTCGCCCTGATAAATCCATGTCTTCGATCAGGTTTGAACCCGCAATCTTGGGTACAACCGCCCGATATGCTGTCCGTGTTACCACCGAACCCGCCAATGAGTAAGGATCTCAAAGGAGAGAAGGGTGGCGGAAAGAAAAATTACACGCCTTGTACACAGTCTGCCAGAGTTCTATTGTGACTTATTTTTAAAATCTATACAGCCGCCCTATATGTTTGCGAATGATATCGTTATAAAGCTTGCCATTGCTACTATTGCCCTACGCTCACAATTTCGCAGCGTCATTTCCAATATGTCGGGCGTCCAACGCGAAAGGAACACCGCTTGCGTTGCGGTTGGTCGGAAAATGGCGGTGGAGCAGCGATCCAACGGCGAGTTCCGTTTTCGATTTAGTCAGCAAAGATACAATAAACTTCTGAAAGTTACCCGAATTTTGTAGAAAAAACTAACTGGTGACGAGACTTGGTGCTTCCAATACGAACAACTAATGAAGCGGCAAAGAATGGAATGCAAAAAGGTCGTATGAAGTCATTGCTAACAAGTGTTTTTTCATTCTAAGCGAACCATTGACAGAGAGCCGAAACGTCAAACAGTAAGCTCAGAATATTATTTAAAAATCTTAAATTGATTTTCCAGATCAGTCGACTGTGGCCTGAATATTGGGAACAAAACTTGGTCATATCTGCATGATAATGCCGCGGCCCACAAGGCTATGAAAGGCCGCGATTTTTTGGCTAAGAAATGCATCTCAATGCTCGAAAACCTTTCTTATTCGCCAGACCTTGCACCCGTGAAATTCAATTTAAGATTTTTAAATAGAAGATAATTAATTTAACTAAATAAAGAATTTTTAAATTGAAGATAGCGGTGAAAGCATGGCATTACAACACCATGACTTTCAAGAAAGTTCGACCTTCGTTTACGTGCAATTCCATAGAATGGCTAAAGTAAACCCTTTGAACAATTATTAAATCGTTGAAAGCAATGCGCTGAGTCAAACGAGGAGTATTTTAAATAAACCTACAGAAATAAAACGTCATTTTTCGATTTTTGAACCTATTGCACCAGAACTCGGACAGTCTGAAGGGTATTCTGTGTTTTCAACACCTTTAGTGCAACTTAAGGTATTTCTTCTCTAAGCAAACGGTTATTGAAATAACTAAAATAACTTTCAATAAAAAAAAGTCTGCAAACAAAAGTATTAAATATATTTTACAGGAGCAATATAATTTATTTACATACTATTATAACATACATTTTTACACATTGTACGCAACAGCACATAAAAACCCAATGTCATGGCCTTTTTTCACAAGCATGTTTACAAACTCCTATACAAAACATCTCTAAACGATCGCTTATTCCTTACGTACAGTGGACTCTAAGTAAACCTGACTGCGTCGTTAGAGGCACGTCGCTCACGCGCGCAGGTTGGGCGACAAGAAACCTCCGCCCTTAAGGCCTTGTATGGTACCGCGCGTTCCACGCTTCCCAAGTGTGTGTGTGTGTGTGTGTGTGTGTGTGTGTGTGTGTGTGTGTGGAGGGGGCACACACGAGGAGGTTGCTGTGCCTCCATTGATTGATTGATTGATTGATTGATTGGTGATAGCGCCAACAACATTAGTCATGTAAGTGTTGAGCATGTTTTCCAAGAGGAGGCGGTGATCTACTCCCTCTGGATGGTGACATTCGGGTAGCGGGGTCTTCCTCAACCAGGTATCTCCCACCAGCAGTAACTGCCCCACAAGGGACAAAGCTTTAAGCTCCCGATCGGTCTCCCGGCATGTAAGTTTGTGTAGTGCATGGTCGTGGGTGTGTGGGGTGAGGACAGGAGAAGGAATAGGAAGATAGCATCGCGCGCGGTTTGTGGCACATTTGGTAGGGCACTGCTACGACATTCGCCTGGGGCTGGCAGGAGAAATCACGGAGAACTGTCGATCAGAGCACCCGGCCGCTAGAATTCTCCAGATTTCGACCTAGCTGGGAAGCTAGCGTGGAAAATCCCTCTACCGTCGGGACTTGAACCTAGGGCCTCCCGGTCGCAGATTTTAAGGATATGGCTGATTTATGGCTTGCTGGGAATTTATTGCCGAAAACTACAATGTTGCAAAAAAAATAGAAAATGAACTGAAATTCGAATCTCTATCTTCAATATTTTAGTTGTAGGAAGACGCAGAAAAAATTGTAATTTTTCCAAAAGTCAACTTTTTAATGAACATGAGACCCGCACCATTCTCTTAAATGTCTCTCATACTAACAAAATGTAATAAAAAAAAACGATGGAGCCATTTATTTGAAAATTACGTACTTATCGTTTATTCTCTTAATAATCTTAGGCGCCTAACAGTGCCGAGCGCGAATGACGCAGCAGGACTTGCGTGGATCCTAAGATCACTCCACGTCAGGTGCTGCTAAAATTCGAGCTGTGTTGGACGACCTTTCATTTTTACGTCGCAACTCCTTTTATTTCCCCTCAGAGGACGCGCTCTCAACATGAAGGTGAAATGAACTTCCAAAGATATCAAATGCCAGGCACTTCCATGAAACGTCAAGGTCCAGATAATTCTACCACCGATCTACCATTCTATAGAGAGAGTAATTTTCCCTCGCTTCTCAATAAAAATAAAACTATTTCACGGGAAAGCTTTATTGCAGCAGTTACAGCACATATTGCACTATTTTCCCACATTATTACCATAAAAGTTGATACTCGAACCGTGGGATCAACATTTGCGTTCCTGTACAGTAGAAGTCACCAAGTGGCTCAGTGCGTAGGGCGTGACTTCGCAATAGGGAGGTCCGGGTTCGATCCTCGGGCTGGCCATCCTGACCGGGCTTTTTCGTGGTTTCCTTTGGTCACAAGGCGAAAGCTGGGATGGTTCGAAAAAGGCCACGATCACCTCCCACTACCCCACCTCCCACGATCACTTCAAAACTATTTATTCCTTCAGAATTCCCTATAGCACGGCAGGAGGCTCTTGCCTCTTAATAGGATCTTAGTTGGCTAATAATAACAATAATAATAATAATAATAATAATAATAATAATAATAATAATAATAGTTGTAGTAGTCTGTCGTCTGGGATAGATACCGATTTTGAAACCGAGTAAAATGCTGGGCCAATGCCTCCTGGGACACCCGTACCCTACGTGACATTGGCTGGAACGCTATGTCTCCGATGCTGTGCACTGATTGTATGACGTGTTATTTTGCAGATCGCGAATTTTATTTTTGGTAACCGGTTGTTGTGGATATTTAATTTGTAAATATTTTAAATAGTTATTGACTAAGAGGAAAGGTGTGACCTACTATGTTTTTATTCGCATTTTGCCTGACCTTTAATATCTATTTCTATCATTGAAATTTTTAGTGCTTCCTTACACTACAGGACAGCAATACAACAGACTTTCTCCTTAAA